GAGTCTGCGGCTCTGTTCCAGGTCGACCACTGATCAATTCTAATGATGGGCCAATGGCGAACGATATTAAAACAATTGTGGATTTTCTGCGTGAGGTACATGTTACAAAAAGACGTTGCTGCAAAGAATACTAGTAATCACTTTTGCTCGAATTAGGTTTGGCGTAACGACTTCATATCTCAACAAGATCCATTCGTCCCACCTGTTCTTTGGAACGAAGATCTTTATAAGAAAGGTAGAAAATATCGCATTGGTTACTATATCGACGACGAATGGTTCACCCCGATACCGGCCATACAGGTAATTTGTGCTGTTTCTAAAAAGCAACAAACACTATTTAATTCTATCTTTCAGCGGGCTATTCTTGAGGCAAAATCACATTTGGAAACAGCCGGCCACGTTCTTGTCCCCTTTCATCTACCCTCTATGTCACGAATAATGCGTCATTTTGTCAGAGCTGTTTGTGTTGATGGTGGCGCATTTCTTACCAGAAAGCTGCTAAGCGTAAGTGAACGATTAGTTATCAGTATCACTATAAAGTAGTAAATCCAGCAAATAATTTGACTTTTTTGGAGGCAACAAGAACGGTGTTAACGATCTGACTATAAAAGCAAGTACGGAGTGACATATGGCCTATGCAATTATTTTTTCTCTTTGGTCAACACTTCAGAATACCCTACACACGCATTGAGAGTAGGGTTGGGGGACATGGCGTTTTTAGAAGCTGCAGTATGTTTGCTGGTCTTCCCTCTTTTTTCCCCCTAAACTGATTTGCGAGCAGACGGATTGGGAATATATCAATTGTTTCGTAAGATAATGTTTAAATTGAAGAACTTTTAAGTTATCCTCGATGGACTGACGGTTTAAACTTCATGAAAAAGAATCTAGTTTGACTAATGCTCCTATTAAGTCTTCTGAATTGGCTTCAGGTGCCGCCTATGAACGAGTGCTTTTCTATATTTCAATAGAAACATGCATGACAAATAGGAGTACAAATGCGTTGTCAATGCCAAACACACGGATTGTATTAAAATGAAACTCGCAAATCACTTGGTCCAAAGGCCATTTGAAACAAAGTTGGTTGGCAGACATCAGCCATCAAAGCATCCTTTCGTATGGCAAAATTAAAGAGGTCAGCACTATATGAAATAGCATGCTCGTGAATGAGTCCGCTCAGCCAGTGCCTCTTAGGACTGCGTTAACGTAAGGTGGAATAAATGTTTTTTTT